TTCACATCTAGATAATAATGACGGGTGCAGAGGAAAGAAGCGCTCCTGCCTCTTCCCCTCAGCCATTTTCCTGGCTGAAATAGTGTGCACGGGGAGTTACTTCCTTGTTTTTGCTACCCTGTGTGCACAGAATACTCCACATTGAGCAGCAAAAATGGGGAAATCTCCCCCCCCCCCAGCTAGACTTACCAAGTCCCCCCGGGGGGCAAGGAAACCCCCACCCCAGAGGCCCGTTCCCCGCCGCCAGCGGATCGGGCCCCGGGGGAACCCCACCCCGACGTGTGTGTCACCCGGAAGTGACGCGACCACGCCAGGCCATGCTGGGGATGGGGCTACGGTCATCCGAGGGAAAACTCTATGGTTTTCCCTCGGATGTTCGTGGCCCCGCCCCCAGCGTGCCCGGCGGCGTCACGTCACTTCCGGGTGACTTTCCTCCACCATCAAACCAGGACTGAAACCATGGCGGGAAGTTGGTTTATTGAGTTGTTTATGTGTTATGTGTGAGCTGAGCCATTGGCTCTCTCTCTTTTTCTTCTCTCAAACTTGGAAAAATAAAAAACAGTGCTTTTAAAAAATTGTCCCAAAAACCATTAAAGATCGAGCTCTGCAGATACCATGAGAAAGAGACATTAAGAGGATGACTATCACATCTGGTCCTTGTGGCTGTCACCAATTTAACTTCTATAGCATGGATCTTAAGCGGTTCTCTACCAGAAGGTCTTTCATATGAGGAAATCTGTATGACAGAGTACCAGGCCCGCCCCTTTCTTAAAGGCACAGCCCCACAAGAATTTCTGCTGTAAATGCTTTTTTCAATCATTTTTAAACATTTTCTTAAAGGCGCTCACGCCTTTAAGCAGAGTGGGGTGCTGTAGTTGACTAATCCTGCACTGAGCAAGGAGGCTGGAGTAGGTGACCTCTAGGATCCCTTCTAACTCTGTGTCAAGAAACTGGTCTCCTTTAAGAGAGTTAGCTTTCTTGAGTATAGACGTCATCACCCCCAGCTTGTTAATAGAACTGTTGCTTAGGCTGGCAGAAGTGATTAACTCGCAGCAGCTGAGAACTGTCATCTAAAGTACTTGGCAGCTTGCAGTTTAGAGATCTATCCTAGTAACAGCTTTCTTTTGGCTAAATGGCTTTTCTTTCTGCAGTGAGGACTTCAGCCCCACGAGGGGAAAAAAATTACCCTATAAGCCACAAAATCCTGGCTACAGGCCCGCAGAAGGCACTCTCTGAGATGCTGCTTCAGCCATCCTGCTGCTGACCTCTAGAATCTCTTTCCATCCAACCACCTGCCCACCAAATCATATCCTTAAAATTTCAAGTTAAACCCCATTCCTTAATGCTTCCTTCTCCTGGACTAAACCAGTCTCCACATTTTGTTTTACATTTGCTGATAACCTATTGTTCTCTTGTGTGATGCTAATCAGGTTTTAGATTACTTGCAGGGGATCAGAATTCCTCCGGTGAGTTTTCTACACCCACTCTACCTGTAACATTATCACTGCCCTCATCTGGTGAATCAGGACCAACACCAAATGCTGTTCTGCCATTTCCACTCCACATCTTTGGTGGCCGATGGCCATCATTAATTTTTGTCTTCACAACCCACTCCTGTCCCATCTGTTTCACCTGCAACGTGATAAACCAGGTGCCGTGAGATATCAATATTCTTCTTTACATTGCCTAGGCATTACGTAACTGTGACAGAGAAAGATGGGCTGTTTGTTTACTGGGAAAAAATTGTGCACTACACTGAGGGAAAAGGTCCCCATTTCTGAATGTGAAATGTGAAAAGACTTGAAATTCAAGTAGCTTTGCATTTCGTTCTGGTTGTTTCACAGACCTCAGCTTGTGGCATCACAGCCAGAGATGAAATCTGAACCCCTGCTCTGAAAGCAAGGAAAATTACCATTATGCTGACTTGTGGCAATGGTTCAGTACAGACATAACACAAAGCTTTGGTTTAAACTATGGTTCGTTTGATTGTTCAAACACAGGTTATTCCACAAACTATGGTTACTCGGGTCTGCCAAATAAGGATCTGAAAATATGATTTTAACTTGATCAACTACATTCTCAACTATAGTTTTGTGTGACGTACAACAAATGTGGACATCCTGGCTTAATCCTGGCTTTTCCCCTGGTATTGTTCTCGTGTGCCTCCTGGCTACAGTGAGACTTGGCCAGAGCGAAGAGCAACAAAACCAGCATTTGCTGAGGCAAACCAGATTTTGAGTTATTATCCGTGAGCCGAATCATGGTGTCACAAACTAACCGTAGTTAAAATAAACCATGGGTTTGTGTTATGAATGTACCTGCCAACCTCTTTGACCTCCAAAAGTAGAGGAATGTATGGCCACATACATCAATCAGATCTTTAAAATTATGGAATTGTAGGTTTGGAAGGTGCCTCACAGTTTTTCTAGAACATTCTACCTCACTATGATGGAAACTACTACACCCCAATTACCCCTAACATGTTTGGACTAAAGATTTATTCCAGCTTTAACCTGCTGTCACAGCTTCCGACCCAGATATAAGACATAAATGCATTTGTAGTTTTATAATGTAGAAAAAACAAAAGAAGCCTGAGGGAAAATATAGAAGAGGAAATCATGAAGGAATCACGGAGAGAGTGATCAGAGAGTCCCTCTGAAAACAGCAGAAATCATGAGCTACCCAACAGCAGTGTGGCAACAGGCTTGTGAGAGATGAAGGGAAGTACATATTTTTGGCAATACATGACAAATCTATTGAGTTAACTGCACCAGAATGATGGCCATGGGCACGAAGCTGCTTTTTTAAAGGTTCAGATAAAACAGTGTAAACAGTGATTATAGCTAGAAATGATAATTCCACATTCAGAACTGGTCTACCAATGATTACTGTATGGTAGAGATAAACTATAGGGGATGGCACTCTTTGGTTCAGTGCCAAATGACTTCAGCACCTGCCAACAAGTATGCCTTGAACTTAGCATGCACAAAAATGCTGCTGATTCAAGAAGAGTGGCAGCCATTAAGGTCACTAAGGGCTACTTCGACAAATGCCAAACACTGTTGTTGTTTTTTTAAAAAACCCACAGCATTTATTTATGACTAATTCATATGATTTGGGACCGATTTCACCATCAGCTTAAACAGTGCAGCGAAGATGAGGGAGCAGAACTCAGTTGG